GGATCCTGTTCCCATCACTTACTCTTCAGGAGCTCTCTCTCTAGCCAAGATCCTGCATGACTGTTGATGAAGATAATGACAGCCCTTGAATTCGGTGAAGCTTTCTACAAATTTAATGTCAGGTAAGCTGTTACAGAGATACAGAGGGAGCATTTTGCTCTTTCAGTGTGCAAGAATAAAATCTGTTGGACCAAATTGTTCAAGACATAAGTTCATTGGAAAATCATGCAAAATTCTAAAAATAACAAGGGCTTCCAACAGCTCTGAAAGGCCGTGTCACTATATACAAAAAAGGTACTTGGAATTCTGCCCTCTCCTCAATCAAATCAACCCAATAATATGAAAGCATTTCTGTGAACAGTAGTCCCCAGTTTCTTTTGCTCACATTGAATGCAATGCTGTCGCTGGTCTCCAACCCAGGAGCTAAAGAGCTATCTGACTTGCAGATACTTCATTTTGAGGCCTTGGGAGCAGTAAGTATTGGAGTTAGGAGGAGGAGAAGGAATGCTTAACCTTCCTGTCAACTGGGGCCAGTCCTCCTGCCAGCAGCACCTTCCCATAAGCTGCTGCTGCCAGCCAGGGAGTGTTTGAAGTGGTCATGGTTACATCCTGACCAGGTCAAATGATCTCAGCTGTGGTTGCAGATAGCAGGGGCTTCAATCAGGACAAGCTGACTAAGTTGACATCAAGTCAGCTATTTTCCCCCCACTTAAACTACTCCAAAGAGTGTCTCTGGTAGGAGTGAGCAGCCATGGCTTGGAGGAGCTGCCAGCCTGTATCACCTGAGGCTGGACAAGAGCCATCCCTCAGTCTGTAAACTAGAAATTCTGGAGAGTAGTGACTCATGTTCCTAAAACAGGGCATTGTCTTTGGAATTTAGGTTTTTTTTCTTTAATCTTTTTAATCAGGCTGTCTCTTATTGGCATTCTGGTCTCCAAGACAAACTTGTTATGTCAGGTGCTCTTAAAAGATCCTGAAGCTTAGTGAGAGGCACTGAGCTTCACTAGGAACAAGGAATTCCAGCATTTGCACTTGCTAAGAGTGTTATCACAATTTCTGTATCTTTTCCAACCCAGTTTTCCTGTCTTAGTTAAAAAAAGGGCAGATAGAAAGGAATTGTAGTGATAGAACAAGGGGTAATGGGTTAAAACTTAAACAGGGGAAGTTTAGATTGGATATAAGCAGGAAGTTCTTTCCTGTTAGGGTAGTGAGGCACTGGAATAGGTTGCCCAGGGAGGCTGTGAATGCTCCATCCCTGGCAGTGTTCAAGGCCAGGTTGGATGAGGCCTTGGGTGATATGGTTTAGAGCGAGGTGTCCCTGCCCATGGCAGGGGGGATGGAACTTGATGATCTTAAGGTCCTTTCCAACCCTAACAGTTCAGGTTCTGCCAGTGGGCTCCTACCAAGTGGAAAGTATAAAAGCTTTTTCAGGTTCTACTCAATGCCTTACTTTTGTAAGTGCAGCTCTGAACCACTCCCAGCATATGCCACTGCTTGTCTAGTCAAGAAAAGCAGGGCAGGTGACAGAGGGTTCCATTTGTTCAGGTGCATTCCTGCTAATGCTGTTATTTGAGAGGACAAAAGAGAAAATTATAAAACACACAAGAGTAAGTATGAAATCCTGATTAGTAGGTGACTATTGCAGTGCCTTTAAAAAGGAGACTGGAATTATGGTACCAGTTACAGTGTCTGGCCCTTATTCACGTGGGACACTGCCAAGATGATTGACACCATCATCTCCACCACAGGCATGTGTGACAAATAAATCATGTTATTCACTCTCCAGCCTAACAAATACAAAATTGTCATGCAAAGTAAGACTAACTCAATAATAGAGTCTTTGTCTTCCAGGAGGGTCAAAACAGAGCATGCTGCCCTTGAACCTCCTTCTTTCAATGGAAAAACTGAGTCCAAGTTTCATACATCCCTCATGAGTATTATAACATGGACATAATCATGGATTATCCTGTTAATCCCTAACCACTGCGCAGATCGGTCCAAATGGTTTAAGCAGGTTTAAGCCTGTTTCACCACGCTCCTCAGGTGATACAGGCAAAGGAAGACCTGGTCTGTGGGCTCTGATGGGTTAGTCAGTATATGGATGCTGGTGGACTTCTGGGAATGTCAGAAGCAGATGTTTAAACCTCCTGAGAACTGTATTTCTGAACACTGAGCCTGCAACTCAACAACCATTGCAATCAGTGTTAGCAAGTGCTGCTGCTGCTAGAAGGGAGTTTCTTGCCCTGTCTCATCCTCTGCCCTTTCCAAGGCTAGTACAGCCCCATAAGGACTAATCCAGTGAACAAGTAACAAGCCATGTTTCCTAGGTTATTTTTCAACTGGATCCATTCACTGAGTAACCAGAGCTTTTTGCCAGAGCAAGAGAAAAGAAGGTTGGGGTGGGGATTGCTCCTTTTACAGTTGTGCAAAGCAGGCATCGAGCATGCTCTGAGTCGCAGCCTGATCTGCCCAGGGTATCCCTGCCTCCCAAGGACACAGTTCCTGGCTGGAGCTTCTGAGGAGTGCACTTTGATATACAGCTCTGAGAGAATGAATTAATTCAAATGAAGCAGTTTGGTCCTGGTAGTGCATCTAGATGAAACCGTAAAGCTCTTTTATATTTGCTAATAAGATTCATCAACTTCTATTTACCTTTGATTTTGCCCTTCTGAAATGTTCTCCACTTTAATTTGAAGCAAGTTTGCCAAAGAGCAACAATCTGTACAGTTTATTTGTCCAAGGCGAATGCCTCAGTATCAGTGGTGGGAAACAATTTAGGGAAGATCCATTCATTACAGTCTGTAGCAGTAACAGCTCGTGATTAAACCCAGCTACTGGATTTGCTCTGCTCTTAGTGCTGCACTGACATTTGTTACCCTGAGATGCAGTGTAAGCAGTGGCATGTAAACAAACTTCTTTGTTCCCTGTATATGTGGCTGCATAGACTTCCAGCTATTGCAAAAACCTGCATTTATTTTATGATGAAAGCAGTTTTGGGTTTTGAGCTAGGAACCACCTCCTGTGCTGGTTGACTTAAAATCGTGTTTCTCCATTCTCCCACTCCTATGTCTGTGCTCTGCATGCTGCTGCTTTTGGTAACAATAATAAGTAGAGCCTGGATTACAGCTATTCTATTCTTCTGGGTTTGCTTTATCTGTCACAGGGTCTCTGTATATTCTGGTAGGTACCAGAGTGAAGTGAAGCTAAGAACTATGATGTTTAAGATTGTACTAAAGGCAAAACCCAGAAGTAAATCACAGAAGCAAGCAAGACCCCGGCAAGAATGGGCTGCTGGCAGCATGGCATGTTCTCTGACAAAAAAATGTACCGCTTTAGTCCAGACTGCTGAGTTATTGTCAGAGCTAGAGACTGTCCTTTGCCCTATTGCGGCAACACCTCTTTTTCACTTTCAAGCTGTTACAAGAGCAGAGGGCACAATTAGCTCTATTAGTTACTTAGCATATTCAAAATTAGAACAGGTTGGGTTTTTCCCTGCACATAAATGAGCTGCTGATAGCAGGATGTCATCACACTGAGACTACAGACTAGTATAAGAAAGAACTTGAGAGCCCAGCTCTGGAATAAAGTCCAGGGATCTCTGTTGGGAAGCTAGCACTCGGGTGCTTCTGTCCTCGCATGCTCCAAAACATGGATTTACCCCTGAGAATCTGTGTGTTCTGGACAGGGCTTGCTGTGTGCCTCCAAACCCCACTCTTGTCCACATCCTAAAGGTAAAATTACTCATGTCAGGAGGAACCCAATATCCTGTTTACTCCACCCATGATAACCTCAGTGACTGAAAACTGTAACCCAGTGGACACAGGCTATTTCAGAGCAGGGCAGAGGCACTCCCCTTCCTCTTATTGAAGATGTTTTCCTCTTTAGACTGTATTTCAGGACCTATGTGAAAGGAGAAGGTGGAGAAAGGAGACAAGATTCATACAAACAAGCACAGGTGCCAGAGGGAACCTAACACTTTTCCCATGGGAAGAGCAGTCCCTTGGGAGAGAAGATGTGTTGTGGCCCAAGGACCAGTCTGTGCATATTCAGCCACCATCATGGAGCAGGAGATGACAAGAACCAGCCTGGGCACAGCACAATGTCCTTGATGCTTTCATTACAAGCTGCTGTATAAGAGACAGGTGCCTCCTCCACTCAAGCTTTAGAAGAAAACGCCAGCTGTGCCTTTGTTTCACAAGAGGCAGAAATAAGTATACAGAGACCGGCAGAGCCAGCAGGTCAGGCTCCTCAGGAGATTTTGGGGTCTCTCAAAAACTAGGCATCCTTCACCTTGTTGCCTTGGGCAGGGAAGGCGCACCAACCCACTGGCACTGAGGTAGCCCTGATTGCAAGGGCAGCAGGGACCTCTGGGTGCCTGATGGAGGGGCTGATAGCTATTACAGGCACTTACTTCAGATCTAGGTTTTGCTTTCTACATCATAGAATCATAGAATAGTTAGGGTTGGAAAGGACCTTAAAGGAAACGCACCAATGTCCATTGCCTCACTGGTTTTTACCCAGTGTCCATTGGTGACTCTCCAGTGAAGAGGATGGCAGAGTTTACACACCCTCATAAGATTTTTGTATCTATATGACTGATGATCAGCAAAGCTTTCAAAAAATTCCTAAAGCTCAGCCTCATTCTCCCTGCCCCCAGGCAGACAATATGTTGCCCTACTGAAAACCAGAAGAGAACCCAAACGTTTTAGGTGGGTGTCTGAGTGGTTCTTCCTGCTTTGTGTTGCCCCTTTCTGTCAAAGCCAGGTGGCAGAACTGCCTGGGAGGGACAGCCAGGGGCCTGCATCCTGCCCCAGCGCAAGAACATTTGGAGAGGGAGGCAGATGTCCTGGATCACAAACAGCACATTCAGGGGTGGAAACAACTTAAATGTCTCTACAGCAGGAGAAAAAATCTTGTCTCTGCTCCAGTTTCCCTATCTTTAGAGAAAAGATAAGTATAAATCATTATCCACAGGCATGCTGTGGGATCTAATTTCAGTAATGCCTAGCTGGTGAAGCGTAGGAGCTCTAGGAGAGCAAAGCTGTAGCCATGCAGATGGGGTTGGAGCATTGCCTGTGGTATGGAGGTCACTTGGCGTTCAGTCGCCAGATGCCCCGTGCAATATGGGCTGTCCTGTACTTACTGCTCAGACCGCAAGCCGCATTTGAAGGGATGACAAGCCATGGCTTTCTTGCACTTTGCTGCAACATATTAAATCCCACATGTGTAATGCAATTCTCCCATGCCACAGCACACCCAAGGCATTGGGCTTGAAGACACTGCACGAAAGAAAATGTATGTCTCTAGGTCTGCTCAACATTTACTGTCTGACAGCCCTGTTTAACTCACCTCCAGCAGGATCTGCTTCAAGCTGCTTATCAAAAGCTGTGTTTCCCATGTGGGGACTTGCCTCTCAGTTAGTTTTTCAACTGAGTTTCTTTTCAAAAGAACAAAAAAAAGAAGGGACAGAAGACAAGCAACTTGCCCTCTGAGGAGCTGGGTGGGGAAGGTGTTGGTGGAGCATCCTCAGTGTCATGTAAGAAGAGGTAAATCAATGTTTTTCTTTCAAAGGTGGGAGTTGCCCTGGCTTCTTTCTACTGGACAAGGTGGGCAGCAGGTTTGCTGAGGTCGAGTCTCTCCTGTCTCTTGAGACAGTACTAAGGTAGAGGCCATGTAGACAGAAAAGGAGCATGGCAAACCCTGCTAAAATTGTTCAAGAAATAGGGCAGGCCAACCAGTAGGAGAGATGGGCCACTGCAGGCTCCATGATGAAAGCCCCTAGGGGCTTGGAGACAGGGCATTCACTTGCTTTGATTTCCCTCAAGATGCCTACCCATGCTGCTCCCCCGTGGACCTGCTCATGCTGGAAACTGGGGCTGTCCAGATGCGGAGTAGATGTTCTGCCTCTTGTTCACCAAAATATGTGGGTTTCATTTATGTACATTACTGCAATTAGCTCAATATTTATTTGTAAAAGAAAGAAGCTTACTTCAGTTTCAAATATTACAAGGCAAAACATGAAGAATGACTTCAGTATGCACTTCACATGCTTATTACTGTGGCCAGGCAAGAAGGATTCACATGCAAGCAGACTGCAGCTCTGAAAGGCTTTTGTTCTTCACAGCCTTCTCTGAGACGCAATGAGCTAAGGAGAAACACTATAGCCAGATAAAACAGGAGGCAGTCATACTTCAGCATTACTTAAGCCTGTTATGCAATACCTCAGTAAAACCATCAGTCATAAAGCTGCAGATTTATCTTCATTTCACAGAATAAAATCTTCCCTCAAATCAATCTGGTATTTCTCTTTTTTTGCCTGGTGTTTCCCAGAGAGCCACTGCTGGACAACTTGTTCTAGAGACAGGAAGCTGCATCTGAATGTGATGGAAGATGTTCACGACTGTCTTGGCAAAGGGATGTCAGGCTTCATACAGCTGTTTCCTCAACTGACTCAGGAAGAAAGATTCTCACTCCTTATAGGCTTCTACTTCTTGGTGCTGGTAGTTGCAATTCCAAGACGTGAAGACTTTTGCCACAGGCTCTCTGGAAGAGCTGCTGTTAAAACCTCTGCATGTTGGCAGGTAGATCACAGGGTTATCTCAGTGGCCTGCAGTAATGCTCCTGGGGACAGACACCATCCCTTGCCTTCAGTGCTAGATGTTGTTCCATTCATCCAGTGGTGTTTCTCTTACCCTGTTTTCAAGAGGGACAAAATATGGCATTAATGAGGATATACTAGTATGAAAACTACAGAGTCCCAAAGAGAATAAACTGTCCAGAATCTTGCACCAGAAATGGAGACAAAGGGTAGCTGAAATTCTGGAAGTTGCCCACTTTGCCTTAGAGATCATTGCCAGCAGCCTACATCTGTACACCACATGAGCAAGTGAGAAAGTATCTTTGAGAAGGGTGTAATGTTGGTCCTGTGTCAATAATGGATCTAGTCCAAGGTACTGAAGCATCTGCTCTATATTTCAGTATTTCATTTCCTACTCTTGTAAGGATGTTCAAGTAAGTGAGCATCCACACCTAAAAGACTGCATTTGAAAGAGCAGCTAAGATGTGGTCACCACCAGCCAAAATACTCGCTATGCTAGCCTGTAGTTTGGACTCTCCTCCAGGTAATGTGTCAGTCTCAGAATCAAATGATCACCACATGTAGGTCTATAAAGCTCCTAAATCAGCTGTGTAGAGAGGCACTCTGCAATGGTTATTGCTGGATGGTTAAGTGCCAGTGCAGGTGAATTAAATTATTATTGGTTCCAAGTATGACTCCCATGTGCTGTTAATTCATTACCTGCAGCTGAATTGCCAGCAAAGTGCTGCAAAGCTCTCTCATCTCAAGGAGTATCAGCAAAAGAGAAGTGGTCTGTCAGTGGAGCCCTAGTGACAGGTCCATACACTATCCTAGATGTGGCATAAATGCATGTGAGAACGGTTTGGAATGCAGCAGTTTAATCTGTGTCCTATACACTCCCCCCAAATGGAAGCAGAAAATACAGATTTTACTGTATGTTACATGGAAAGAAATGAATCTCAGCCATGTTTTTTCCTTCATTTCCTACAGCCTCTCACTGACTGATGAGGGGAGTTTTCTTCCCTTACTTTTACAGTATGATTTGCTGTGCCCCGGGGGGGCCAAGATGCTCTTTTGTGTTGGGGCATTCCCCCTAGCAGCAGTGATGCTGGTGATACTCTCTCTTTCCCTGAAGAGTTAACAAATTCCATCCTCCTATTGTTGAGGAGTTTCCTTGTGACCTGCATCAGGGCAGGATCCTCTGAACTCTGCAAAGGGTTTGCTTCCTGGTAACAGAGCAATTCATTAGCTCTTGTAGCTGTTGTTCTTAAACTGAAAGCTCTGTGCTCTAAAGCCCAGCAGGAAGGGATAATTAGCACTAAATTGTGTATTCTGGGCAATATCCATCTACTTCTGCCAAGACTACACAAGGCCTTAAATACAGTGGATAAAATATGTGTGGGGTGGATGCTTTTTGCATAAATTTGGAAGGAAGTGTGCGTGATTGCACTCTTGGTCACTGCGGCCCAGAAACAGGATCTGGGGTTGATGCAGGTCTGTGCCAGCTTTGCACCCTGGGTAAGCACAGGGTTTGGTAGTAATGCCTCCAGCAAGAGAAGGGGAGACAGTACCTGCAGTAACGTGTTGAGGAAATAGCCCCTATCCCAGCCATTCCCTTTATCCTGCTGCCTTCCTTGGCATTCACATGTGCACCCTGCTGCCAGCCCAGCTGGGCACTGCACTGCACTTGGTCCTTGGACAAGTCGTGCTTGTGGATAGAACGCTTCAGTTTGGGAGCCTCTGTTGGAGGACAGACAGAAACTGCATCTCCTGCTTAGTAGTGTCACTGCAGCACGGTGTGATTTTCATCCATGGATCAGGTGCCCCTATTATACACAATTTAATAAATTCACTGTTGTTCTGATGCTTCTTCCTCTGCTTGGGCAGCAGGCACAATTCAGCTGCTTGAGTGCAGGCTAGTTGCCATTTTCCCCTAGGAAGTGCCACCTGAGTCCAAATGCCTGTCCAGAAACATGTAGGTCTTCTGTAGGTCCTATGTTGTACCTGCCAGCCGTGGCAGATGCACTACATGAGATGCCCATGTTGGAAATGACTCAAGCCCTGTGTGTCCAGGTTGTGTCTCCTAGAGCAAGTCACTAGGCAGACTGACGCTGCACGTTAGGAACCATCATGTTCCAGAGCTTGTCTCAGCTTAACAGCAGCAATGCAGGACTAAAGTGGACAATCTTCCAGACAACTGGATATGTCCAAAAGCAGTTGGTTGTGATGAGTACCAGCCACAAAACCAGATCATGAGGGGAATCATGAGGGACTTTGATCTGATAAAGGTCTGGTTCTTCTACAGACATACTAAAGGTCTGAAGATGTGCTAACAAGTGGTCTGAATTTGCACTGCAAGAGCAGTCCTGCTGTACAAAGCCCACCAAATGAAATCAAAGAGCAGAAGACATTGCAGTTCACAGCACCAGTTTATAATGGGCAGAAAGAAGTCAAGTTTCTGCCTGACAGCTCAGTGTTGTTAGGTTTCCTTCACCTTCCCATTTCCACACAGAAGACGCCTATTCCATAAACCTTTTGTCTTGGGGTGCATTTTCTAAACTTTTTGTCTTTCATATGAGCTCCTTTTGACCTTGTCCAACTGCCATTTTCCTTAAAGCATGGTGCTGAGGAATATACACCAAACTCCAGCTGAGAGTGTACTAGTGCCAAGTAGAGCACAATAATTTCTTCTGTGTCTTGCATAAAACACTCTTGCAGGTGTGGCCTGGGATGACATTTTGCCCTTTCCTGTGTTGTAGGCAGACAATACCGAGGACTCCCAGAGTTTCTGCATCTCTGTGCGTCCCTCTCTGCATACTGCCACCTGGCAGGTCACTGTTCATAAAGGCCTCAGGTTGGGCTTGTTTGTTGGGGAATTTTGCATCTGACATTTCCCTCTTAAGTGCTTTTTACTGTCATTCATCTGATTTCTGTCCATTCCTTTGGGCTTTTCAGGATCAATTTGAATTCAAACCTTGTGTTCCTATGGGAAACGGTATAGATGACTCGTGGACAAGATGGTCATTTATCTTACTTTGAGTACTAAAAGAGTAGTCAAACTGCATTGGCTGTACAGGCCTGTGCTTGAGAGGCAAGGGGAATTAGCTTACCCAAAAGACCATAAAGCGTCAGATAAATTACTATTGGTTTCCCTTCCTTGTTAGATGTCATAACGATTGGGATGTTTAGCAGACAATTCTCAGATGAAAAAACATAGTACAGGTTGTTTGCTGCCTCCTGGTCCCTGGCTACAGCCAGTTACTCCAGGCTACTTTTTATTCCACCCCTGCTAAGGACTAGATGTGATGTGGCCCTGAATTTCAGTTTGCTACTGGCTTTGCCATTCAGGTTACTGGGCACTATGGTAGGTGGGGAGCAGAAGCAGAAGGCACAGTGGGATGTGGTAGGACTGAGCACTCACCTTTTATTGCTTCTATGTTTCTACTAATGTACTCTGCTCCTCATTATGTGCATAGAAAATGGTCAAGGGTAAAATCACCCTTCGGCATGCAATCTCACACAGATTAGCACATCCTCCTCATACAGAAGATTATGCACTAGCATTGACTGGTTTATGCCATAGACTTGAGGCTGAGATTGCCATGCAAGGCCTAGGCAAGGCATCACCTCCCCGTTTTGATACCCCAGCATGCCACTAACCTGCAAATAACTTTTTGCCATACAGCTGTCAAAGGTATCATGGTTAAATCAGAGTTGTGCTGTGAGGTTTCATGTTTTCTTAGCTGATTCATGATGTTAGATGCCAGCTTTGGCTGTTACTAATAGCTTTTAGCCACTGCCTTTAACAGATTTGTGACAAACACTGTTGGGGCGTTACTAAATCCTCCCAATATGATAATGAAATGTTGATTTTTAAAAATCAAACCAAGCCACAGTCTGTTTTCCAACTAGCTTTGCACCTTTCTTGATATTAAATCTAGACCTTTTTCCCACTAGTCTTCAAGCAAGAATGTTTTCATGACTGCATTGAAGAAAAGTAATTTAAGGGACAAACTTGATCTCCAGCAACTGGTTGCTATGTCAGTCTCAGCAGGGCTGTTTGTATAACAATCCTGCAAAATTAGACATTCAGTTATTATGGAACCATTTTTTCTTTCTACTAACAGCAATAAAGATGAAGTTATAGGAGAGCTTGCTTTGGAAAAGCAGTAAGAAGCAAAGAAGCTTGACAGCAAATGTGCCAGGTGCTGTAAGACCGGGCAGTGGTGTTACTTCAAAGAACCTGAGTGGTACAAAGTAGATGGTCTTTCAGCAACATAAGGGCCAACATAGCTCTTCAGAGCTATTACTGTGACAATGCTGTCATTGACTTCAAAAGTTCTGACTGGACTTGCAAAGGGTTATCAGGGTTTTCTGTGGAGCATCAGCTATGGGACTACTGTTAAGTTTTTATGGACTAGAAACCTTGCATCCCTTTGAAAGTACAAACCCATGTGCATCTCTTGTTACTACTGGATAGGTCTCTTTCCAGTTACTGGTTTCTTATGGTGCTGGATAGCCCTGAATGGCTGAGAAATAGAAATGTTCTGAAGTTTTATGAGGGGTTTTTGTGTTTATTCCTGTATCTATATTCTATGATCTATATGCAACTTTCCTTTCTGCTCTATTTCCTAGAGAAAATTCCTGTGGGATTAATAGCACCCCTGCGTTGGATTTGGAGCAGCTGCCCTCAGATGAGAAGTGAGCAGGTTCTGCAACAGACAAAAGGATTCTGCAGCAGAAAAATAATGGAAAAGTGGTTTAACTGGGTCCTTCAGGGCTTCTAGAAACACCTTAGGTCTTCTGACAATAATCCACAACTGAAGTGGGATTTCTTCCACTTTGGTAGGGTTGCTACAGAGGTGCTATTGATGTGATGAGTAAGTAAGACCTTCCTCCAGTCATAAGATTTGTCCTCATTTGTATGACAAATCCTCATGAATTAATGTGTGAATAAAGAAGGTGGCACGTCAGTTTAACACCCCCTCTGTGCACCAATTCCTCGGTAAGAAACAAAGATACTGATGTTTGCCTGGATCCCTGGGACATGCTACTCTATCAGCTGAGCTGTTTGTGCAGTAGAGGATTCCCTTTTTCTTCCTGAACCTGAGTTCCCAGGCATAGCTCTGGCTCCTGGTGTTTGGCTGAAAATCCCCTTGTCCATCTCTTCCACCCTCCTCCCTCCCATCAGCTCCTTCCAGCCCTGCTGGGGTTTGGAGTTCTTGGAAGGAGCGATGCTTTGTTTAACCCTCATCACCTTTTCTGCTTGGAAATTGAAAAAAGAAAGAGAAAAGTTAACGTTTGGGTAAACACGTGAAACTGTTTTGAACCCCCAGAGCTAAACTGTGGCTCACAATTAATTACACTTCTCTATAAAGAAATGCGAGGGTTCAGAGGACGAGGTGAGGTAATACGTTACGAGGAAGCTGACAGGAGAACAGTAAGTCTGGGCTTAAGTGAAACATTTTTTGCTTTGCTGGCTCTTGGTATGGAGCCAAAACCAACAGAGCAGGAGCTGGCTTGAAGTGGCCACGGAGAGCAGGTGTGCTGCAGACATGTTTGGAACTACTGGAAATAATACCCGGAGTTAATGCACTCCTGTTCAGTGTCTTTAAATAATAATAATCATATTAAAACAGTTTCCTGGTAAAGATTTGCCCTTTGTGGGATGTACGAGCACTGAAATGCT